GGAACCTCCCCAGAGAAAGACGCCGCAGGTCCCCAGCGCAGGTCTGAGCCGTCAGGAGGACCAGAGCCCACGGGGGAGTCTCACGGCGTGCCAGCCCAGAGCTCTCACCCTACGCGGCACCCGAGCCCCGGGACCTCTGAGAAGGAGAGCGAGGACTGCCGCCTCCCACCCGCCCCCCACCCCGCGGGGCCCGGCCTCAGCCTAGTGCCCTGTGGCCTAGGACCCCCGATACAGGCGTCAGAGCTGGAGTCAGGATTCGTGTCTTCCCAAACGGGCTGCTGTGTGAACTCTCCAAACTTTACCTCCCGGCGGCCCTGGCCGGGGATACAGGGCCTTAGTGAGATTCTGGGAAGGGTGAGGTCTCCCTGGCTTGTCCCCGCGGCGAGGACCTGAGGGTGCTGAGTTTGAATATGAGGATCATCCACTATTCGGCCCCAGCACCTCTCATGACTTAAGACATGCCGAGCTGCTCACAGACCATCGCGTTGACCCGGACCCTGCAGCCCCAGGGGAGCTGCAGAGGACATACAGATCCCGAGCACATAGCAACCGGGGCCAGGGCCAGGGCCAGGGCCAGGGCCAGGGCCAGGCTTAGGGCCCGGCTTGGTCTACGCCGAGGGGACCCATCGGCTCAGCAGCACTCCGGTCCGCGCGACGCGATGCAGCTCGTTCGGATCCGGAACAAATCCGTATCAGTTGCTGCGCATGCAACTCTTGCAATACTTCAATTAGTCCATAGGGAGAGCACGTTAGTGTGCAGCCCGGCTAGCTCAGTCGGTAGAGCATGAGACTCTTAATCTCAGGGTCGTGGGTTCGAGCCCCACGTTGGGCGTAAGTTTTGTTCTAGTGATAAAAGGATTCTAGGGGACTAACTCGGCTCAGGAGAACAAATTGTTGCCAGGTCAAGGAAACTGACTTAGAACCTAGAGCTTCCACCTAGGAGCGCACAACAGCGTTCCTCCAAAAGCGCTGGTTTTTCTGTCTTTAATTCTTATGTATTTTAAAGTTGAAATTTACATAAACTTTATAGACAAAATGTATATAAAAGTTTCTTGTTAATGTTGGTTGTTGTTTGTTTTGCTTGGTACTGGGAATTAAATGCATGAAGACTGAACTACATCACTGGGCTTCTTTAAATTTTTTGACATGGTTGGTCTCAAATCTTTTTTTTTTTTTTTTAGTACCAGGAATAATAGACCTCAGGACCTTGTGCTTACTAGGCAGGCACCGTGCCACTGAGCTATATCTCCCGCCCGGTCTCAAATCTACATTGCTCAGGTTGACCTTGAACTTGAGATCCTCCTGCCTCAGTCCCTTCTCAGATTCAGTGAGTAGAATGTTGGAGTGAGCTTTTCCTGCCGATGTGCCCATTCACCACTGTCCTGCTGGGAAGGCCCAGAGAAGAGAAAAATTTGGTGAGGGAAGCATCAGCATCTTTAAATAGCTCTGTGGTGGCCATTCTCTGCAGGCAGGGTATGAAAGGTGAAAGATACTGCCACTGAGGTGAGACCCCTGACTTTAATAGAAACAATGAGGATGGGGTCGAATGTGTTCTGGGAAGTAGGAGGAGCAAAACCATAGGCTTTTGTGATCCTAGGGCTCAAAACCAGGACCTTGAGTGTGCTAAGCAAGTGCTCGATCACAGAGCTATACCCCCCACCCGCAGAACTCTGTTTTAATCTCTATATATCACAGGGCTTCAGCGGTGGTTTTGTTGGGATATATGGCATAGGAGGCTTCCGGTTTTACCATCCTTTGTAGCTGGAGAAATTTTTTACCTCAAAGGTGAAAGTCATGTCTGGCTTTGTTTGTTTGCTTAGCTCTGATTTGTCTTGAATTCTCTATGTAGCCCAGGCCAGCTTCCAACTCACAATACAAATCCAACTGCCTCAGCAGTACTATAGGTATGTGCCACCATCCATGTTCAGCTTCAAGTCATGTATTAGAGGGATTAAAAAAGGAAAACTTCACTGTAGACTATTTCAAACATGTACTGAAGCAGACAAAATAGTGTCATGCACCCTTGTGTCCCCCAGTTTACATGCCAATAAACTGATGGACAAGCTTGCTTTGTCCATACATCCACCCAGCCCATGATTTTAAGAAAACTAGTTGTCCTATATTTTATCTCTTTTAAAGATGAGCTTGTATCCCAGCACTCGGGAGGGTGAGGCAGGAGAATTCCATGAGCTGGAGGCCAGCCTGGGCTACAAAGTGAGTTCAAGCCCTGACTGAACTATATAGCAACACCCCGCCTTTAAAAAAAAAAAAAATTTTCTTTTTTTTTTTTTTTTTTTGGTGGTACTGGAACTGAACAAAGGACCTTGTGTTTGTCAGGTAGGGGCTATGCCACTGAGCTACTTTCCAGACCTTAAAAAGAAAGAGATTGTAAAAGATACTGATTTACAAATGTATATGAAGCTGGGAGTGGTGGTTCACGCCTATAATCCCAGCACTGGGGAGGTCAAAGCGGAAGGATTACTGTGACTTTGGGGCCAGCCTGTCCTACATAGTAAGACCCGGCCTCAAAGGAAAATGAATAAATAAAACATATGAAAAAGGGGAGCTCAAGATGTAGCTCAGTGGTAGAGTATGGGCATACAAGAGTTCCTCATTTCAGTCCCCAGCACCCCTCCCGCAAATATATATGTGTGAATATACACACCCACACACACATATAGATGTGCAACCACAATACATTTGCACACTTAAAGAGGAACAATCATTGTTTTTTCTTATGTCACCAAGTTGCATGAATTTTCCCCTAAAATAAAGAATATAGGCAAGGGATATAGCTCAGTGGCTTAGGTGCCTGCCTGGCAAGCCTGGGGTCATGAGTTTGACTCCCGGTACCAAAAAAAATAAAATAAAATAAACACTTTTCTGAAAGTTGAAAACTTTTATCTGAAAATAAAAATTACCTTCTAATTAGTATGAAACCAAAGCCTTGTAAAGTTTCTCAGTTCGCTGCCTTCTGCTGGGGGAATTTGCGGTGTAGTTAGTAAGCTACATTTCACGTTTTCCAATTTCTCTGGAAGACCTAAAAGAAACCCTTGTACCCCGAGTGGGACTCGAACCCACAATCCCTGGCTTAGGAGGCCAATGCCTTATCCATTAGGCCACCGGGGCTGATGAAAGAAACATCCTCAGTTGGCCTTGGACCAGTCTCTACATTGCTCTGGCAGTATTTCGCACGGCCTTTGGGTTCATCCTGGTCTCATTCTTCCCGTTTGTGAGATCTCGATCCCACCCACTCGCTCAGATCGCCCCCGTTCTAGGGCGTCCTGGAAATCCAGAGGAGGCGCGCACGTGGAAATGGGCCTCATAGGCAGAGAAGAGAGAGTTTTATCCCGGATTACTGGTGCATGATGGGGAAGCTTTTAGAGACCGAGTGCCCAAACTGCAACCCCAAACCTACTTGTCTATTGCAAAGTCCCAACACTGCAATGAAACCTGAATACTGAGATTTCAGTTTAGAAAAAAACAACTGATACATCAAAAGAAAAAAACACCATAACAGAGTTTTCAGTGATACAAACAGCTTGCTGTGGCACATGTGCCATAGGTTTGCCACCACTGCCCGTGTACGTCTCGCTCAGGATGCTAGAGCTCAGGCTCAAATCACAGACGAGCCCTTAACACCGGTACGTCCCATACCGCAAAATATGTAAATGTGCTCCACAATGAATGGCCAGTTCCCCACCCGAAAATGTGGCAAGGAAAACGCACCGGTCTTTGTCCTTCACTTCCGCATTCCTTACACGGATTACGGGGTAGGACCAGGTTCTCTTTTTTGTTTTTGTTTTTGTTTGTTTGTTTTTGTTTGTTTGAGACAGGGACTTGCTATGTAGTTAGGTTGGTTTTGAACTGACTATGTAGCCCAGGCTGACCTTGAACTCTTGGCGATATGCCGTGTTGGGGACCAAGAATTGAAAACTGACACAGTATCTGTCCCGGGGACTCCTTGCCCCGCCTGCCTTGTGGGCTGGTTTTGGAATGTGGAACTCACCTTCCTCCCATCAATGAGCTTAGCACCCAGGTGGGGGGATGCATCTTGGCTTGTTCCCTTTATGATGTTAAACTTGCCCCTTCTACCACAGGCCTCTCCACTATTCCAGGAAAATCCCCGTACCGCTCCCCTACACTAACGAATCAGTAGTGGCTAGCTTGGCGTGCCTTGGTCTCTGCCCGTCTTGAGGCATCGACCTCCCAGCCTGCCATCATGCATTACTAAATTTGTCTCTTATTTCATGCTTTGTACCCCTCATACAGGCAGTTCAATCGATAGAGTCTGATACCTTAATCTGGGAGTGGCGTAATGAGCCCCATTATCTGCTTGGCATGTCCTTTGGGTTTTTTTTCTTCGTGAAGTTGTTCTTATACAACTTAACTGTACTTAGTGAGCCCTTATTAATACACTGAAACATCACAGAAATGTTAAAGTAAGTTCCCACAACCTCAGGACACCTGCATCCGCCTCCGGTCGGCCACCAGGGCACCGCTGCTCTGCGCCTGGATTATTCAATGTCACCACATCCTGGACAGAACTGGAGTTCAGCAGAAAGAGAAATGAAATAATCAACTCAATCCTCTGACTCTATTTTTTTTTTTTTTTTTAAACAGGGTTTCACTATGCAGTTCAGGCTGGCCTTGAGCTCACTTTGTAGTCCAGGCTGGTCTAGAACTCCCAATGATCCTCCTGCCTCAGCCTCCAGAGTGCTGGGATTATAGGCATGCACCACCATGCCTGGCTCTCTAAGTCTATTTAAAATGTTAAATGTACATTTACACTATGCAATTATGAGTACATAACCATTGCAAAAAATCTACATAACCTATTATATTTATTTCGTTTATTTCTTTATTTTTGAGACAAGATCTTCTTTTGGTTCAGGCTAGCCTTGAACTCACCATACAGCTCAGGCTGGCCTCAAACTGCAGGCAAATCTGCCTCAGCCTCCCGAGTAGGGGTATTACAGGCATGAACCACCATGGCCGGCTTTACTTCATTTTTAAAAAGCAATAAATAGTAAGAAAACTTGCAATATTTAACCCTTGTGGGGAAGGAGGTACTGGAAGTTGAACCCAGCTACTTCTCAGTCTTTTTTTTTGAGACAGGGTCTCAGTGAGTGGTCCATTTTCAAGTTTACAGATCAGTGCACTGGTTATAGTCACAATATTGTGGAACATCATCATAATAAACTATTAGATTTTTAAATGCCCATGTCTCCTGAGGCCCTGAAACAATACCAGACCCCCACCCCAAGCAACCTGAACCCGCATCTGTCACTTTTCCCCGCCTGAACGGTGCAAATTCATGCAGCTCGCTGTCTCTGCTTCATACTCAGGGTCCGGCCAGTACGTGGGATCGACTCAGCTGCAACCTGGCTCTAGTCCTGGCACTGGCTCGACTGCTGGACGATAGAAGCGAGACACCTGGACGTCTAAAGCACCCTAGCCCCGCGCAGGGCACATCCTGAGAGAAGAAAAATCTTCAGGAAAAGGGCAAAAAGAGTTTCCTCGCAGCGACCACGAAGGGACTCGAACCCCCAATCTTCTGATCCGGAATCAGACGCCTTATCCATTAGGCCACGCGGCCCCACGCCCAGTTAGTACACGGCTTTTTACATAAAGCTTTTCAAGCGCCTGCGCAGTGTGGCCTAGCATGGCTGCTCAACGTGAAGCCCCGCCCTCAGGGCGCAGCTCCTGGAAGCTTTGCACAGCCGGAGGGGACCGCTCATCCGGCACCAGTCGGGTGAACCTAGCCTTCATTACCTTCCGATCTCTTCCCCCACTTGCCCGCCGCCTATGTCAGGGGCTGCCCACCGCTACCCCGGCCCTGAGTTTGGCCCATCGCCTTACTGGTGAATCTGCGGTGGTCTCTTCCAGAGCCGGCTGGACCTGACTCGCCGCCGGGGAAGCAGAGGCCCTAGTGCCAGGGGGAGATTGGGGAACAGCTGCGAAGGGAATGTGGGCCCCAGGTCACTCCGAGGACGTCCAGCCCAGCCCAGCTCATTAGATTCCTTAGACCCAGACGCAGATGCAGGGCACAGTTCCCAGGTGTAGGACTCGGTGGTCTTTCGGTGGTCCCCTGGAGAAAACGGCCAGAGGATTTAGAAAATAAAGACAAGAGACAAAAGCCGGGTCAGGTGGAATTACCTCTTACCTGATGGGCAAGAGGATTGACTTCAGCAGTAGGGCGTTTATTTCATACTCTTGCAAAGTTAGTATCTGGAGAGGTAATGCTGCCTAGCGACTAAGGACTGTAATTGTCCAGGCAAGATGTCTTTCTGAAGACGTAGGTAGCCTGACTGCTTGAGGCGCCCTGGCTCTGTCCTGCCCTCACACACATGATCAATTTCCAGCTCCAGCCGCTCCCAACACCCAGGGGCACAGCTCTGCCAAGCACTTTACATCCATCATCTCACGTATTTCACAGATCTCCAAAACCAAGCTCTGTCCCCATAAAACGACTATCAACAGATATTTATTGCGCACCATCTAGGCATCCACGTCCAAAGCACAGAGACGGTAGCTGGGAGGAAGCTTCATGCGGCGGAGGAAGCAGGCAGAGATGGCTCAGGAGCCAGCTTCGGATCTCTAGGCAGGCCTTTTGTGGGGGCATGGCTGTCAGGGCCCAGCACGTCCAGCTCACACACACCCCTGTTGACCTGAAGGGCCGCACTCAGCCTGAGCCTTAGGTCCTGTGGGGCTCAACCTAGCACCCACTGCAGCCCTTGCCTGCTATTCTATAAGGCCTAAACTTTCAAGCACTACCTTGACATCTTTGAGCCTTACAGGACCCCAAAGCCCCAATATGAATTCCCTTCCATCTTCAGAAAAGCCCCAAAACTCTGGACTTCATGGCACACACCTGTAACTCCAGGATTTGGGGAGGCTGAGGCAGAAGGATTGCAATTTCAAGCCCAGCTTGGGCAATTTAGTAATATACTGCCTCGATTCTTTTGGTGGGAGGGCGTGGTAGTTAGAGGCAGGGTCTCCTTACGTAGTTTAGGCTGGCCTTCAACTCACTAGACCAGGCTGGCCTCAAATTTGGAGGTGATCCTCCTGCCTCAGCCTCCCAAGTGCTAGGATTACTGATATGCACCACGACGCCTGGCCTCCCTGTCTGAATTTAAAACATGAAAAAAGGGCTTAGGATATAGATCAACTTGAAGGCCTAGTACTGCATAAAAAGAAAACAAGGAAAAGAGAGACCCCCAGTGGGAGGGTCTCCCCTCCCGTAGTTCCCCTATCAGCCAAACTACCTGCATCCACCTCAGCCTCAGCATAATCAGCCTCACCTCCCATCCTCTCAGGCACCCCGGAACACCTCATCCTCTTGTCTCTATGAAGCCCAATTCCCACAGGCCCTGCTGGTACCCTCTGTTCCCTTGTGCTTCCACAGGGATCCACATCACCTTCAGGGTCCTCATCCCTTGGCCTTTAGTGCATGTAATACCTTCTGTCGATCGAATTTGACAAATGCCAGGTGTCATATATTTGGTCATCTCATACTGTTGAGAGCAGGGGAATGCCTCCTCACCGAAGGGAGGAGCATGAGATGATCAGAACTCCGGGGCTAGGAGAAGGCCCCACCCAGCCCGTCTCTCCTGGTCACCCACCCCTCACACCTCTGTCAGCAGCTCCAGCAGGTCTCCCCCAGGATTGGCTCGGACAATTTCCACCAGCATCTGGATAAAGTCTGAGCCTTTCTTGTCTTGATAGGCCACGTAGCCTAGGTCAGGGAGCCAGGGCCAGAGAATTAGGCTTGGGCCTCTGCCTGCTGCCTCCCATTCGCCAGGGGCCAGGCATAGGTGGGTGTTTGAGGCAACAAGCAGAGAGGACTCTGGGGTCCTGCCAGAGAACAGGGCAGGGGCCAGGGATTTCTTGCATCTGGAACAAACTTGCTGTATATCTGCAAAGTGAATATGTGAGTAGATTCAATCGTGAACATTTACTGGTCCTACTAGGTACCAGGCACTGAGGAGAGCCCCTGCAGAGCTTAGAGCATGGAGAAAATTAGACACACAGGGTGAGTGGCACAGCTAGTACTTGATATGTGTGCACCATCATTACGCTTTTGTTTGGGCTTTTGTTTTGTTTTGTTTTGGTTTTTTGGTACCAGGAATCGAACTTAGGACCTTGTGTTTGCCAGGTAGGCACTTACGCCACTGAGCTATATCTCCAGCCCCTTTTGTTTGGTTTCTAAGACAGGATCTCACTGTGCAGTACAAGATGGCTTTGAACTCACTAGGTAGCCCAGACTGGCCTCAAACTTGCCATACTCCTCCTGCCCCAAATGCTGAGATTACAGGCATGTGCCACCATACCTGGCCATCATATTCTTAATACAAATAATAAACCATGGAAAGAAGATGGCTTAAATGCAACCAGGCTGGCTTCTCTGGGTCCTAACCTCATGCCCTGGCTGTCCCTAAGGTCACTCTAGATCTTAAAGCAGAAAGCCCATGTAATAGCCCACAGGGATCTTATCCTCAGCGGCTGCGTACACTGTCAGAATGTCTGCCTGGTCAGGGCTCCCTGAAGAGGGGTGCCTGGAACAGCTGCCTGCAAGAGGAGTCAGCTCCAGTCACCAGTGTCCCAGGACTCCACCAGCCTAGGGTCTCTCCTGTGGCTTAAGGCAGCACAGGACAGCAGAAAGAAAAAAAAAATGCAGGGAGGAAAAAGATGAATTGAAGACCAAAGCTCAGCCCTGCTGCTTACCAGCTGTGTGGCCTCAGAGAAGCTGGTGCAGATGCCTGACTCCCCGTCACTGCCAGGATCAGATAAGAGAAGCAGCTCTTGCTTCCCAAAGGCCTTTGCACTTTAGGAAGATTTTCCCCCATCATCTTGGCAAAGAGGAGTCAGAGGTGATGGCAGGAACCCAGCTGAGAGAACCAGAAATGCTCTTGGGACAGTTCCTGCCACCAGCCCTGCCAAGCTCAGGCTCTGGAAGGAGCACAAGACCTACCTCGGGCATGCGCATGGATCTGGAGGACATCGGGATGGGAAGGGATGGCTGGAGGTGTCCGTAACCAGCGCTGGTACCAGGGGGAACTAAGCCGCTGCAGTGCTGGGCAGCGGCTTAGTTCCCACACTAGTGCTTCTGGCTGTACTTTTTTCCCATCCCCCCCCAGAAGCTGTCCCCGTGGCCCCCCATGGGCCATCAGGGTCACAAGGGCACAGCCCACAGGGCCCTTGTGGGTACCTAGCCTCTCTTGGAACTCAGCCAGGTCCTCCCAGAATGCCTGGAATAGAGACAAAGTTGAAGACTGGGCCTAGGCCCCTGGCATCCCCCCTGGGCTGAGAGCACTTCCCCAGCTTCTGCCACCAGAGCTCCACCTGTGGCCAGCCTCAGGCACCAAGAGGAAGCCCTTTTCTTACTCTGTGAAGTGAGCTGAAGGAAAATGAGACCGCTGGAGGGAAAGTTTTGATTCTGGGGAAGCAGAAACCAGCCAGCACAGGTCAGGGACCCTGGAGACCAGCTTCCTGAGGCAGGGAAGTGACTGTCCCATGCATGCAGCTAGGAAGATGAGGGCTGGGCTTGTGGGTGGGTACACTTCAAGTCATGATATGGGAGAGGCCCAGGAGGTAGTCCCGGAGTCCTACAGGAGGGGATAGCTTTCCTTCCAGACACCACCAGAAGTTCTGCGTTTCTCCTTACCTGAGCTATAGGGTCTGTCCTTACAGTAGCCTCAAAGCCCAGGGCCCAGCACAGGTCTCCCAGTACCTCCACGTCATTCTGTGCCCCAGGCCAGTCTTGGACCACAGCCAGGAGGAGGGCAGCCCTGGCCCCGGACAGGTCATGCTGAACACTGGGACTGGGGTCTGGCTACAGAGAAAGCCACTGTGCTCTCAGTAGGGTCTGAGGGTCTCCCAGCTCCTCACCTCCCCCACTTGGGTCTCAGCCCCTGTCCCACTTGAAACTGTGGCTATATATTTGGGCTCCCACCGGGTCCCCTCACCTCAGGCCTCCGGAGCTCCACACCTCCCAGGCACAGGGCCCCTCGCAAGGAGCTCCAGAAGACTGGGCAGTAGCTGTCCCCAGCAAACTCTTCAGCCACCCTGCAGAAGAGCTGGGAGGGTGGGGCCCGAAGCCACCTGAGAGGCTGCTCTGAGGAAGAGACTGCAAGCAGGGGGTCAGAACCCTGGCTCCAGGGAAAGACTTGCTACTGCAGGCACTTGGGGGCCACTTGCCAAAAGGAAGGGAGGAGAATGGGGAGTTCAGCCTGGACTCAGGCAAGACCTAGGCTCTGGTTCAGACCTGAGGTCACTTATTTCCCCGGGGATGGAGGGCCTCAAGTGGACAGTGGCTATATCATCACCGACTCCCACCCTGGGGGTCTGTGGGCACAGAGGGTAGGGCAGGCTGGGGAGGAAGGCTCCCAGCGTGGGCGCAATGTGGGAAGACACCAAGCCTGGGAGAGCCATGGAGCCCCCCTCCAGGACCTCCCAGGCACCACCCACCTGCCCAGTGAGACCTTTAGACCCTGGGCACCCAGCCCCAGAGTCCCCCAGTCTAATGGGTAGCAGTCACTGTCAAAGGGGCAGCTGGAAACACCCATGTGGACACCAGGAGCTCAGGAAGGAGGACACTACAAACAGCCTGGAAGGGACTGTGTGAGGCCAGCGGGGACAAGCGGGCATGGCGTGGAACTGGGGACAGCCTGGACTGTGCGGAGGGGCACACAGGGTTAGGCTCACACTGCCTGCGTAGACCATAAAGGTTTGGAGAATGAATACAGGAGGAAGGTACACGAGAATGAATTTAACTGAAACTGGCTCAGAGAGCACAAAGAGCTGGGGGACCGTGGCCCTGCCCCCCTACATACTTTCTGGGCCCTCACCTCTGTGAGCAGTTGCAGCAGGGACCAGTGAGGAGAGCGGCTGCAGAGCTCCTTCAGGCCAGCCATGAAGCATCCAGGCTCCTGGGCAGCTGGTGGAGAAGCAGGCAGGAGCTGGTGTTGGCGGGAGGGAGCTCCCGGCTCTCCCGCCCATGCCCAACCCCCACTTTGATCTGGGGCCCTGGGTGAGCCACTCACCCCCAGGACCACCGCAGAGCAGCAGGAAGACTTTGGGGCAGCCGCGCAGGGCCCCACAGTGACTTAGCTCCTGGACCAATGGCAGCGGCTGCCTCAGCGGTCTACTAGGGGCCACCAAGGGCACAAAGGCGCAGCTCACAGGGTCCCCCTGGGCATCCAGCTACTCTCGGAACCAAACCAGCTCTTCAAGGATGGCCTAAAGGGAAGAGCCCAGGTCCGGCCTGACTCTGGGGAGCTCGGTGGGGGCTGGGGCCGGGCCTGGGGCCAAGGCTGAGGCTGAGGGAGGCGAGCTCACCTGTACTGACCCTTCATTCTTCTTATGGTTTTTAAAGCCCAGGGCTTGGAACACATGGCCCAGGGCAGCAAGAGCAGTGCTGACATGCCAGGGCTGCTGGGCGTCAGGGCCACCCGTGACCCCTGCACACTATACTTCCCCTGTCGAGTAAGGCCAGAGCTGGGCTGGGCGGAGGGCACATGTGGGCATCAGGGTCAGGCTGGGCCAAATGCAACGTCCTACTACTTTTCTCCCCAGGCTGTGTCGGGCATCTGCCAGCTGTGCAGCCACCTGTAGGGTCCCAGCCACCAGGAAGGCCATGGAGGTGAGGTGGCTTCCTGTAAGCACCAAGCTCACCTGGTCCTGGCACCTAGCACACTGGGTCCTCACTTTTGCCTCTCGCCAAGCTGCCTCCTATCAGCTCTGTTGATGACCTGAACCGGACTTGGCCCCGTCCCCCAGAAACCTGAGCTCCGCTGCCCGAGGCCAGCTCTGTTCTCAGGCTCTTGCCGTGACTTCCTGGCCAACACTGATGTGTCTCCACCTGAGCGAGGAACCTGCGCCTGAAACCTGTACCTGACCCTATTCTTAGCTCATGGCCCACACTATCTGATCTTGTTACACTCCAGCGCTCCCTTTGGAGGCAGCCACCAGCACTAGGGAAAAGGTCCTCCCACTGCTCCCACCATCCCTTCCAGCCATACTTGCCCACCCGCCTCTAACAGACGTGTACGCACACTACCGCATGTGCAGGCACGCAGCGGCACTGAGCCGGCAGCGATAGAAAATGCCGACTGCAATCACTTTGTCCACAGTGTGACCTTTGTTACTTCATGTGAGAGACGGGGACTGGCTGGACCACAGGGTGATGTACTAAGTTGGAAACTGGTGAAGGAAGGGCCCTGGGGGCACACACTGCCACAAAGGCTGCTTGTGGGGCAGCAACACCAGGTCTCCATCTACTGCCCTTCTCCACAGGTGGGGCACCGTGAGGCTGCTCCCAAGGGAACAGGAAGGGCTCAGCAAGTGTGGAAGGAGGGGTCATACCACTGACCACTGGCTCTGACTGGGCCTCTGCCAGCTCTGTGCAGGCCTCACCTGGCCCCAGGCAGCAGGGAGGCTGGATGTAGAGGGGTGGCTGGAGAACAAGGACAGGGCCCACCTGGACCAGTCCGCCTCTCCCCTGAGAACTTCCACCACAGCCAGCTTTGCACTCGGGACCCACTGAGCAACAGACGTCTCCCAACCTCCACCAAGCTGGCCCCTCTCCAGCTCCTCACTCACTTCACCAGTGGGGGCAGAGCAGGGTGGGATAAAGACCCCAAATCCTGCTTGACCCCCGCCCAGTCCCCTGCTAGGATGAGGATGGTTGCCCAGACCAGGACTGACACAGGCTAACAGAAGGGGATGGAGTCCTGGGCTTCATGGCTCCCCTTTGGGACCCAACCCCTGCAAGCCCAGGACAGGGCTGTTTGGTGACTACAGCACTGTGAGTCACCCACAGGACCAGGCCACAAGGCCAAGGGATAGACTTCTAGGTCCCCCACCCTGCAGTAGCCATCTGAAGAATGGACACCCTGGAGAGAAGTTTCCATGTTTATTCAAACCCTTCTGAGGCCCAATGGGCTGACCTCTTGGGAAGGGACCTGGTCTGTCCCTGCTCATACAAATCTGCACAAAATGCAGACAAAAAATGGAATGCAGTGCTTAAGGAGTCAGCAACACAGTGCTGACGGAGTGCTAGTGTTAAGTACAGCCAAGGCCATGCCTCTGGAGGAGTGAGCAGCGGGGGCTTCCAACCACCTACCAGCCGGAATGGCAGATGGAGGCTCACGGAAGGGGGTGTGCATCTGCCAAGAGCAAATGTGGCAGCTTCCTATGGCCAGGCCAGGCCACAGTGCTCATGGCCTGGAAGTGGGAGGGAATGCAGGCCAGAATATCCCTGTGGCCAGACCCAGACCTCATTTTCTGGCATGTGTGGGTCCACTGCCCCCCCAAAGCCAAGCAGTCCCCTGCGGGGGCTGAGGCTACTCCTCTGCCCCTGCTGAAGGCACAGGTCGGGAGGGCAGAGGGCCTGGCCCATGGAGCCACCTGAGAAGCCCGGAAACAAAGAGGCAAGTGGCCACATCTGGCTGAGGGACCCAGGGGAGAAGCCCTGGGCCCTGCCTGAACCCTCACACTGCCTGCTGCCCCTGCCAGGAATATGCTAAGGCTCCCGGAAACTAAGGAAAAGAGAAACAGCAAAAGGGAAGGCAAGGTCAGCCAGACTTCTGTTCCAGGGAGCGCAGGGCACGTCCCGGGGGCAGGCAGGGCAGCCTTGAGCCTGGGTCACTCCAGCAGGCCAGGAAGTAGCCAAAGATGGGTGAAACCCCAGGGACAAAGGAGGCAGCAAGGCTCCCACTGGCTGCTCACCCCACGGGCTGCGCCATCTTGGCGTGCAGGCTCTGGTGGGCTATGAGGTGAGCACGCTGCTTGAAGCTCTTGTCGCACTCGCCACAGCCAAAGGGCCGCTCGCCGGTGTGCACGCGCCGGTGGTCCAGCAGGTAGGAGCGCAGCGAGAAGCTCTTGCCACAGTCACTGCAGCCAAAGGGCTTCTCCCCCGTATGGATGCGCTGGTGATCAGCCAGGTAGGCGCTGCGGCTGAAGCTCTTGCCGCACTCCGAGCAGGAGAAGGGCTTCTCGCCTGTGTGCACGCCCTGGTGGCGCACCAGGTCCGAAGAGCTGCGGAAGCTCTTGTCGCACTCGGGACACTTGTGCGGCTTCTCGCCGGTGTGCGTGCGCTGGTGGCGAGCCAGATCCGAGCCCCAGCGGAAGCGCTTCCCACACTGCCCGCAGCTATGCGGCTTCTCTGCTGCTAGATCCGGGAACTGGCGCCGGCGTGTCGGTGGCCGCCCCCGCCGCGCCCCCACTGGCGGGCCCAGGGACGCCTTGGGCTGGTGCTCTCTCTCCCAGGCTTCAGCGTCCTTGGGGCTCCAGGACACGGCCCCTTCGCCCCTCGTTTGGCCTGGCAGTGACTTCACCGCTTCCTCCAGCAGGGCCCTCCTGCTCTGACTTTGGGGCTCCAGACCTGCAAAGGGTAGGGTGGAGGCGGCTCCTTGAGTCCCAATGGTCTCCGGTGTGGGAGAAAGGTAGCTCAGGGAAAGCTCCCTGGCTGAGACCCTCAGTTGCCTTTTCTATAAAATGGGATGATAATAAAAGGCCTGCAAAGGCAAGGTTTAAATAAGCCTCAGGACCCACCTTCAGAGGCACCCACTCTGCATGAGCCTGGCCCAGTTCCCCTTCCACCCCCACCTGGCTCTCTACATTGAAGAGCCAATGTCCACTCCCAGAATCCACCCAAGAGATCAGCTTATCCACATTCCCACCAGAGGAAATTGAGGCACCAAGAGCACTGGTTTGTGGGGCCTCCTTACTCCCCAGGCTCCAGCTCTTTAAACGCAGGAACACACCGCAACTTGGGACAGGGAGGGACTCCAGCCTGCCCATGGAGAGATGCAGATTAAAGGAAATGATCCCCAATAAGCCAGGCTAATAAACGTCCCGGCTTAGGGAGGAATGGTGGCTTCAATGGGGGCTGTGATATTGGGGAGCAGACGGGCTCTTGCTGTTGGCGTCCCTGCAGCTGGGGTGTTGGGGTGGCCTCGAAACCAAGCTTGGCTGAGTCCCAGCTTTGTCCTTTCAGTATTCATTGATCTTTCTGAGTTTCAAGTTCCTCTTCTATTAAATATGGACAACTTTTCTGTGTACCAGTTTGTGAGAATCAAATGAGAACATGCCCTTATAAGCACTCAGAGTTAGTCCCCCTGGATACTTGTCACCTGATACACATGAACATAAAGGTCAACACACACAAAAAAATCACACAAGGCTCTCAAAGAAACTCGAGCAAAGTTCACTTGGATCCAGCTTATGGAAGTGGGAGGGAAGACTAGGGATAGTGGGAAGATGGGGGGGGTCTACCTGGCCCCACTTACCCAGGGTGGTGCTCCGGGAGTTCTCCCGCTTTATGTCCCAAAAGAGATCCCTCTGAGCGGGGTCCAGGGAGCCCCATTCTTCCCTTGAGAAATAGAAGGGAATGTCTCCCAATGCCACAGGTCCCTGGAATGAGAAGACCTGACTGAGGACGCCACACTGCCTCGCTCAGCCCTCCCAGCAATTGTGGATGGGGGCGGGATGGGTAAAATAAAAAAGGCCTACAGAAGAAAGCAAGACCCATTGTATATTTTGGTTTTTTGCAACAGAGTCTTACTACGTACTCAGGCTGGTCTTCAATTTGAAATCTGCTGCCATGTGGGGTGGCACATGCCTGTAATCTTAGCACTCAGGAGGCTGAGGCAGGGGGATCGTTGTGAGTTCAAGATCACCCTGGGCTACAAAGTGAGCTCAAGGCCAGCCTGAACTGCATAAGGAGACCTAGTTTCAAAATGACCAAAAAAAAAAAAAAAAAAAAAAAAAAAATTTGCAATCTGCTGCCTTGGTCTCTTGCATGCTGGGATTACAAGTGTGCACCACACCCAGCTGTGGCAAGGCCCATTTTATAGATTCAACAACCTGAGGGCCTCAGAGAAGATAAAGGAACTGCTAACTCACATGGACCCCAGAGGCAAGGCAGGCATCTGTTGTCTCTCTGGTACTCCTCTCTTTAAGAAGAGCAGGAAGCTGGGCTGAAGGAAAAGAACAGAACCTCAGAGAGGCCACTCTAGGCCCAGCACTGAGGCCTTCTAGCCTCCCCTCCTCATGCAAAGACACACACGCACAGGCACACATGCACACGCACATATGATCCGGCTTCCCAGAACAGAAATGTAACCCTTAGGGCAACATGAGGCCCCTGTCCAGCCACTCTGCCACCTACAAGAGCAGAGGTTACTCACCATGATGGCTGGGCTGATCGTGGGGAGCAGATGGCCGGCTCCCTATCCCCACCGTCCCCTTGGCCTGGGAGGTCTGGCTCACAGCCTTAGGTTCCTCATCCTCTGAGGGCACGTCCTGTGCAGGAACCACAACACGCTCATCAGCACTGAGACCACACAGGGGAGACAGAGGTTAATCCCTAGGAAGGAGACACAGAAACAAGTCCCTCAGGAGGGACATGCGTGGGGTGTGGGGTGTGGGGTGTGGGGTGTGGGGAAGGAGATCAAGGTGGAGCCCCAGGAAAATCCCAAAGGAAATGTGACACCAGGCAGTCCTGTGTGCCCAAGAACACTCCTTGATCAATCACAAGGCAAGAACCAGCCCCCAAGGGCCAAGTTCACATCCACTTAGCAAGGGAAAAGCAGAATCTCCTGTCAAGGGTAAAACTCCCCATGTAGACTGCTCCTTAGCACCTGCACGGATGGTTCCAGCCTCAAGGGATGTCCAGGAGCGCTAGTACCTGTCCTTTTGTAACCCTGAAGCCCCTCATAGGCTTTATTATAACATCCTGTCCTATAAAACTGTCCCTTCTGCTAATACAGGCCCATGACCCCTTTCCCCCAAGTATGAAATCCAAAGCCTGGATTTTCCACGACCTGTTGGATTGCGAATCCTAATCTCTCTCATTTGGCAGCACTACCAGAACCACCCACAGGACAGCAGGCTGCCAGCAGACAGCTCTCTTTTCTCATGCCCCTCTGATGCTCATAGATCTCACTGTATCCCCAGGGCATGGCCTAGAGCAGCACATGAATAAATGTTTGTAGAACCTGTGTGAAATATACTCATTTTGTCCAACAAAGTCACCAAAAATAAAATGCACTGGGCTCATCTTTCAGAAAGGCAGCAAGTGTTATGTCGTGCTTTCATGCACAGTTGCTAAGGCTTGGTGTCTCCCCTGCCCCATGACCTTCCAGGGATGCATCTCCATGGAGACAGCCTCTTCCCTTCAGCCCCTGGATGTCAAAAGGTCCCCTCACCTGCGGCCAGGCCTTCACTGGCTGCTTCTGTAGGTCCTCCACCAAGGCAACAGCTTCCTCACCATTCCCTGGGCACTGCCCCCGAACCTGGGTCTGGATCTCCCCGGGCAGCACCGTCAAGAACTGCTCCAGCACCAGCAGCTCCAGGATCTGCTCCTTGGTGCGCAGTTCCGGCCGCAACCAGCGGCAGCAGAGCTCCCAGAGCTGGCTAAAGGCCTCATGTGGTCCGCCTACTTCCTCATAGCAGAACTGGCGAAAGCGCTGGCGGCAGGTCTCAGCATCCCTGATGTCCTCCTCCTGGGCAGTTTCCTGCTCCCAGGAAGAATCTTCTACCTTCACAATCAGAAGTCCTTCTCCCTCCCCAGGAGCCTGGTCCTGGGGCTCCCGGGGGGATGCCATTGCCCTGGTCTAAAGCTCAGGGCTGGCTGGCCTCAGCCTGGGCTCCAGAGCTGACCCTTTTAGTTGTCCAGAGGGATACCCTGTGGTGGCCAGGTTGGCATCTGGACATGCATTCCTGGGAAAAGAGCAAAATAGCAGGATTTTGGGAAGGGTGGGAGACAGAAGGAAACACCAGCCTCAAAGGATGTCCAGGAACTCTAGAACCTGTCCTTTTGTAACCCTGACGCCCCTCACAGGATTTATTATAATATCTTCTCCTACAAAACTGTCCCTCCTGCTAGTACAGGCCCATGACCCCTTTCCTCCAAGTATGAAGTCCAAAGCCTGGATTTTCCATGACCTCTTGGATTGCAAATCCTAATCTCTCTCATTTGGCAGTACTACCAGACCTACTGATACAAGCATATTTGTACACCAGCACACTTATCCTATTTATATGTTTTATGGCATAAATACTAACATTTGTTCATTTTGTAAAGATTTATTGAGTTATATTTATGACGTTTTATTGTGTGTATAATTCAACTAAAGTTTTAAATTCTTTTGTTTGATTAGTAAGTGTTGCCCAAATCCCTCTGGAGATGTTAATACGCTACGTGCACTGTACTACGTTTCTCAAATTTAAAATCTTTTGCATTTCAAATTTCAAGCTGGGCATGGTGGTCCATGCCTGTAACGCCAGCACTTAGGAAGGCGGCTGAGACAGGAAGAATGCTACAAGTTCAAGACCAGCCTGAACTACATAAGCAGATCCTGTCTCAAAATTAAATAAAATTCGAAAATCATCTAGCCACTGGAGATGAGGGTGTCAGAGAAAGGCTCACAGACACCACTGAAATCCATGTATCCGTAACCACATGTGTATGTACGACAGATATTTATGCTGTCATTTATAGTCCTGATTCAGGTATTTTGAAATTTTGCCTGTTTCCACAATAAAATCAACACAAACACCATAATAAAGAGGGGAATTTAAGCAATACAGAAGTATATCAAAGAGAAGGTCCTCAACGCGGGGGCAATCCCCTTCCCATTGACAGTCTGACTTACTACGATCCAGCCTTTTCCCTGTGCTTCTATTGAAAATTTATTCATACGCATGGACAAGAAATGCTTGATGTGTGTTTGACACAAACGAGATTCCCTGTACATACTACTTTGTATCTTGCTGTTTCCGCCTAGCAATGCTTCCTCAGCGGCACGGTGAGCTTCCGAGGTGTGGACACGCTCCCGTTTCTTAACCAGCACCCGAGGGATGCATTCAGGTCGCTCCCGATTCTTCCCTAGACACACGAAGCACTTTATTTACTCTTCTGCTTCTCACAAGATTCCTGAAAAGGTATGCGCGCCATTCTCATCCTCCAGCGATCAAGGAAGTTTCCTCGGAGAGGATCAGGACTCACCAGGGTCGCTCGGCAGGGCGCGGCGGGCGGGGACGGGACGCGGCCCCGCGCTGTCCCCGGCAGCCCGCCCCGCGCGGAGCTGAGGGGCTGCGGGCGCGCAGGGGTGTCTGCCCACAGACCCAGCCGGCACAGGGCCAGAGGAGACCTGCGCGTCCCAGCAGAGTGCGCCCCCCGCCTCTGGCCACCACCTCTGGGAGCAGGCCCCCGCCACCCAGAGATAAACGTTCGGCCACAGAGCCCGGCCGCCCGCCCAGCCGCTCCCCGCCCCCGGGACACACCGCCCCCGGCGGATCAGGGGTTCCCAGTTCCGGCGCCGGAAGTTCGGGTGGGGTTGCCGGGAAACTAAACTACGCATGCGCCGCTGCAAGCGTTTGCGACTGCACCGCCCAGAACTCTGTTAGGCTACACAGACGGACAGCCAATGAACGGGGAGAATTCCCAGGCCTGGCCTATCATAAGGCAGCGACAGCACGAGCGTCAATACCCCGGCACCTGGAAGGAAGGGATCTGGGTATAGGTTCATTGTGTCCTTGTCCTCCACTGTTATCATTTCTCTTCTCTTGCTGTCCCTGAACGGCGAGATGAGCGAAGACTGCGTCTAGCCCAGCCACAAGTGGAGCGCCAGCTCCGTCGAAAGGGATCCGCTGGGATGCACTGTTTCTTCCTCTGGGCTCTTGCTCACCAGCCGAGTGGGTGTAGCCAGGGGTCCACGGCCCGTGAGCCGGAGCTCGGGCGAAGAGGCTCGTTTGCAGCCTCCTGGTTCCCATATCTCCTTAGTCTATGCCCACAGCAGATCGTGAGGCTTCCTGAAAAATGTAGCTAGTGAGGGGCGCGGAGCTTCCTTAGACCAGTCCCTGGATCAGCGATGGCCTGGGCGGAGACCTGTGCTCCATGTACGGCGCTGAGGAGCGGCGGGAGTCTTAGGAGCCGGAAGGACCTACCCCGAAATCTTGGGGTTGTCTTCCTTATACTCGGCACTCGCTCCCACCCTCTGCCACCTCGACCCGGAGATCTTAGGCTCCAGAACTTTCTGAAATGGAAAGAGCTTGTTAGGCACGTACTGCATGTATAGTGGAGAAAAATTAAGAAATATTGGAAAATTATAAAGGTATCTTTCGGTATCTGCAGGTTAGATACCCTCACTCCGCTCAGATTTCTCCCTCAAGAGGCCTGCCTTAACACACTCTAAAGTCTGTTCCCTGCCGTCTCTCCCTAACATTTATATATACCTGACATTTATTTGTGAACTATTTGTCTCTCCTCAACTATAAGTAGCTACATGGAGGCAGTTTACTGCCCTATTCCCAGAGCTTACAGTTGTACTTGGCGCAAAGTAGGTGATCAGAAAAAGAATTGTTAAGTGCACGAAGGTAAAAAGCATTTTTAATACAAGCACTATGCATATTTTAGTCTGTTCTTAAACATCTGAATGTATTTCTGATACAATTCAAGAATCATCCTAAACCGGGCATGGTGGTGCATGCCTGTAATCCCAGCAGTCGGGAGGCTGAGGCAGGAGGATCGTTGTGAGTTCGGGGCCAGCTTCGGCTACAAAGTGAGCTCAAGGCCAGCCTGAACTGCATACCGAGACCTTGTCTCAAAAAAAAAAAAAGAAAGAAAGAAAGAAAATGCAATTGGTGAATCAACGAGATACGTATTTTTAACCTATCCTCTAGGAAAAAATCTAACACTGCACTTCCATTTGAAAATCAAATGTTTGCTTTCCTCTGTTCCCAAAAATTTGGACATATAGTAGGGGAATGAGAAAAAAAATCAAGTTATATCACGTAGAGGTGCAAATCCCCTGTGCTGAATGTGATCATTATGTATACCTAAAATGTACCAATAAACTTAATTTAAAAAATTTGAACATAGTGCCCAGGTGTTGTGGAAATTAACCATTCAGTGGGGAAACAGCTTGATGTTGGTTCTCGATAAACTCCCCAGTAATAAATATGAACGTGAAGTCATGTTAATTGCCATTTACATTTACGGGGTGTTTACATGTCAGGCACTGAGCTAGGTATTCTACAGTGCATACCTCAGTCACCTCGTGGAACAGCCTACAGGGAGAAATTCCACTTCTTTGCTTTCTAGGGAAGCTGAGCATTTTTTTTTTCAAATTATTATTGGCCATTTTGATTTATCTGTTTGTGAATTGCTTGTTATTTCTTGTTTTGTTTTTTTTTTTCTATTTATTCCACTTCTGCTGCATCGCAGAGCTACATCTCCAGCCCTCTAATGGGATATTTTTATATAGTAAGGGTATGTTCGAGCCAGAAGTGGTGGTGCACATAGGTAATCCCAGCACTCAGAGAACCTAAAGCAGAAAGTTGGAAATTTGAACCCAGTCTGGGTAAATTAGTGATCTAGTGATGCCCTGTCTCAAAATTTTTAAAAAAAGAAAAAAAGACTAAAGCCATAGCTTCAGAAAAAATGTTTGGTAGTATAACTTCACATTTACTAAGCACTTATGTATTTGTCAGGCCAGGGATACAGCTCAGCAGCACAGCACCTGCCTGGCAAGCTCAAGGCTCTGAGTTCCATTTTTGGTACCAAAAAACTAAAAATAAAATATATATTTGTCAAAGAGAATGACTTACCCTTTATGTTACAAATATCTTTCATAGTTTATATCTTTTAATACCAATGATATATTGGGATATTGGTATTCCAATACAGAAGTTTTTAATATTAATTAAAGCTCTCATTCTTTTCTTGCATTGCTTCTTCCATTAAAATTGGGATAAGAAAGGTTTTTGTACCCCAAAATTATATTCATTTATACTTTTAGAACCCCTAGCTTTCAATTTATTTTTCTGAGACGGGGCCACTATACAGTTCAGACTGACTTTGAGCTCACTATATAACCCAGGCTGGCCTTGAACTCGAAGCAATCCTGCCTCAGCCTCCTGAGTGCTGGGGATCACAGATGTCGGTCACCACCACAAGCTTCAATCTATCTATTCACCTATCATTTACTTGGGACAGGTTCTGCTTATGTAGTTCAGACTGGCCTTGAACTCACTATGTAGCCCAAACTGGCCTCGAACTCAAAGTGATTCTCCTGTCTCAGCCTCCTGAGTATTAGAGGCTTGAATCACCACATCCAGCTTAGTTTTGAAATTCAAATCTTACTCTATCTGAAATTTATTTTGTAAAGAGAAAGGCATAAAATTAATTTACCCACCAAGTAGAAGCCAGATTAGGCATTTTTATAACTGTCATTCTATTCTTTCTTGATTTTTCTTTTCTATTTTATATCTAAATTTTATTACAGATGAGTTTGTTTCAGAATGTTCAATTACATTTTATTGATTTTTACATGCCTTATTTTATAATAGGGTTTTTTTCCTTTTTTCTTTTTTTGGTACTGGGAATCAAACTCAGTATAATAGTTTATTAAATTTATTTTTGAGGGAGATGTTGGAGATCCTGGAGCATGCTAAGCAAGCACTCTACCACTGAGCTATAGCCCCGACTCCTTTGTAATAAGTTTGTTTTTAGTCAGATTTTATTGGTATGCTTTAGGTGTACATAATGATTATATTCATCACAGAGAATTTGTACCTGTACATGATATAACTTGATTCTTTTTTCCCATTCCCCTCCCCTCAGCCCCTCCTCTATAATGTTTTGATAGATAAATTCCTAAATTTAAATTTTTCTTAGCCAGTCTCAGTGTGTGCACCCATAGTCCCAGGACTAGGAAGGCTGAGGTGGGACAATCTCTTGGGTCTGAGTTTGGGACCAGCCTAGGTAATACAGTATAGAAACACCCTGTCTCAAAGAACACACATCCAAATTTTCTTATAGTTTAATGGATCTTTCCTGATTAATTTTAGGTCAATTTTATCAAATTCTAAAGCTTATCATTTACATTTTATTAAATTAATATTGGGAAGAAAAGACATTTTCGCAGTGAAGAAATATATAGAAATATATTCAATTTCTAGAATAGAAATATATTCAGAAATATATTCAATTAGAAAATATTCAATTTTTCTAGAATATTGAAATATATTCAATTTCTAGAAATATATTTAATTCACATGCCTCGGTAAAATTCTGTAAAGGTTTTATTTTTGTGGTGCTAGGGTTGGAACCCAGAACCTCCAACGTGATAGGTGAGTGCTGTACCACAGAGCTACATCTCCAACTCTCCCCTGAGATTTTTTTGTGTGTGTGTGGTTTGTTTTGCTTGTTCTGTTTTTGGTAATACAGTATAGGTTTCTGCTTCTTTTTTTGTTTCTGTTTTTGTTTTTAGGTTTTTGCTTCTTAAGCTTTTTCCAAAAATTTGTGGTTGTTAATATTTTCTCCCATTGTCTAATCTACTCCAATGAGATAGAAATCACATTACTGTTAACATGAATAGAGAAAATTTGATATGAGGAATTAATTTGCAGCCTAGTGTAGTGGAGCACATCTGTAATCCCAGCACTCCAGAGGTTGAGGCAGGAAGATCTCAAGTTCAAAGGCAGTTTGAGCTACCTATCCAAACTGTCAGAAAACAAAAACTTTTTAAAAATTGTTAATTTGCAAAAATGGGCAAGAGACGGTTAAAAGTTATAAGTCAAAACTCTAGGAAACAGCCGGGCGTGGTGGCACATACCTATAATCCCAGCACTTGGGAGGCTGAGGCAGGAGGATTGTTGAGAGTTTGAGACCAGCCTGGGCTACCAAGTGAGCTCAAGCCCAGCCTGAACTGCATAGTGAGACCCTGTCTCAAAAAAGACCAAAAAAAAGAACACAAACAAACAAATAAAAAAACTCTGGGAAACAACTTCAGCCCTTACCTCCAAGAGGGTAAAGAGAAAGAAATTCAAAGAGGCCTCTCTCCATTCAAGATGGAGATCCTGACCTCTAAGAATGAACGGCTGCCATAAGAATACACAGCTGGCCAGCCTACTGGTGCATGCTTGTAATCACAGTACTCTGGGAAGCTGAGGCAGGAAGATTGCAAGTTCCAGCCCATTCTAGTTACCCAGTCAATTCTAGTTGCCCAAACTGGGAAACTTGGCAACTTAACGAGACCCCATCTCAAGGGTAAAAAATAGAAAAAGGGATGAGGATATAGTTTTTTGCCAAGGTGTTACGTTCATCCTCAGTACCGCAAAAGAATAAACAAAAAAACCCACACAGCTGACAATCGGAGATATAGTGCTGTACTTGTAAGAGAGCGGAGGGGACTGGGCAGGTTCTGGGGCTCCCTCCACTGCCCTCTGCCGGCTCCCTGAAAAACTGCGCTTGGTAAGCGAAGGTCCCTCTCTCCAGCTCTGACAGCGTTCTTCCAGCGCCCTCTCCTGGCACAGACTAACCTCAAGTGGGCCAGCATTCCAGAACCATTAATTTTCCGTTCGAGTCAAATCACCAGGTCCTTCTGGATTCCTCCAGGGGAAATCATTTTTGCACTGAAAAGTAACTGTGTGTGCTTCTGCTTTAGTACGCTAGGCAGTGCCGGAGGCATGGCTTGAGCGACCGCAGAGAGAGAAGGGCTTTGTGTACCAGGTACTGTGGGAGGTGATCACGAACCCCTGGATCAGTAAGGGCGAACCAACAGCACGCGTGCCGCAGCGGCCTGTTTATTCTTATTGGAAGCTCTAAAAGGTTCGCCATCACTGACCTAGGTAAGTCGGTAAGTACCAGCATAGAATCATGGGGTCTCCCTAACATGGCAGGGGGCAGGCAGTTTTGGAGGCAGCGTTCTTCTAGGTGTAGTCCCGGCGTAAGACCACGAAGGATATGTTCCTGGACTGCCAGTACAGGAAGGATATTAGCTATAACGCCTCTCTTGGAATGAGCTCCCCGCTGCTGCTCATTGTCCTCCCTCGGTCCCTGGCAGTTGCGTTTGCATTCCAGGAATCTGTCCCCACCACACGGGCTGCCCTGGTGGAAGGAGGCCATTGTTAGACAGGATCTAATAGCTTCTCTCTGCTTGGAGTCCAAAACAGGCGTAGAGAATAGTGTGTAGGTTCACAAATTAGCAGAAGCTGCGTTTCCTCTGGTTTTCTAGGTACAAGATCAACGAATAAGGAGGGGCTGAGGCATGGAAAGGTGGGAGTGGCCGAGGGAGCCCCAGGAGAATTGCTGGGAGAGAGGCCCTAGGTCCTGCCTGAGACCCACATGTTCCCTGAGATGATCTTGTCTCTTTACACAAATGTCCCCTTCTTTGTTTGTTTTTGTTGGCTTTCTCTGTGGCAGTCAAGTCCCAAGTATCACAGGATCATTAGCTAGAAGAGTATTTTTGTGTTTTACTCACATAATTGGCGTAACCTGTTAATAGCAAGTTGCTATTTTACCTGGTGTAACCTGTTAATAGTTAATAGCAAGTCACTGTTTTTAAGTGGGCAGATGTATTAGTTTCTTTTTTTTTTTTTTTTTTTTAGTTTCTTGTGGCCATTGTAACAAATTACCACAAACTCTTGTGGCTTAAAGTAATGCAAATTTATTACCACTGCAAAGGTCTGGAGTCTGAAATCTCTTTTACTGGGTTAGTGCCTGCGGGGCTGGTTCCTTGGGAAATCTGTCCTTTTCGGCTTAGAGCTCCTGCGATCCTTGACTTGTGGTCTCTTCCTCCATCTTTAAAGCTTTCCTCCCATTTTGTTTCTGTTACCTCTTCTCTCTCCTGTAGTCAGATCCCCCTCTGACCCATTTTTATAAAAACACTATCATTACCTTTAGGATCCAGGATAGTCTCTCCACATCAAGATCCTTAACTCTATCATATTCACAAAGATTATCACTCCAGGGCCAGGGATATGGCTCAGTGGCACAAGTGCCTGCCCAGCAAGGGCAAGGTTTTAAGTTTGATTCCCAGTACAAAACAAGAAAGATTACATCTCCAAATAAGGCAATATTTTTAGGTACCAGGTTAGGGTCTGGTATTTCTGAGTCATTATTTAGCCCACCATAAACCCACATAGGTTTTTGTTTATTTGTTGTGGTAATGAGGACTGCCCAGGGGCATCACAGACTTTCTTTCTTTCTTTTGTTTTTTTGAGACAGGGTCTCACTTTGCTGTTCAGGCTGGCCCTGAACTCTCTATGTAGGAGCTTAGTTCCTAACCTGAAGTGGAACAATTAAAACTGAAGCCCTGAGGGCAAACCGAAAGGCCTGTTCCCACTTTCCATCCATAAGGGCCACTTTTCACTCATCACAGTCTAAAGAGAGGTAGATGGCAAAATGTGATGGAATTTTCTTAGCTTCTCAGCGATACAAATTGTCTCTGACATTGAAGTCATTGAAGTTTACTAAAACCTGTTGTTTCTGACAGAGTTTCACTATGCAGGGCGGCATAGGGGAGTGAATCCAGAGTGTTGCATACACTAAGTAAGTTCTCCTTCACTGAGCTACATCCCCAGTCCAATCTGTATACCATTCTTGAGGCTGATAACATTTTGCCATTTATATTCACTAAGGTGGACTATTGAGTCAAAAGTTAGATGTAGTCAGGAACGTGTGCACATCTGAAATCTCAGCACTCTGGGAGATTGAAGCAGGGGGCTTAAAAGTTCTAGCCCAGACTGGGCAACTTAATAATTTAGTGAAACCCTGTCTCAAAACAGAAAAAAAGGGCTGAGGATGTAGCTCAGTGGTAGAGTGCTTGCCTAGCAGGCACAAGGCCCTGAGTTCAATCCCCAGTAACCAAAAAAGAAAAAGAAAGAAAGAAAGAAAGAAAGAAAGAAAGAAAGAAAGAAAGAAAGAAAGAAAGAAAGAAAGAAAAAGAAAATCAGATGCCAGGCATGATGGTGCACGCCTGTAATCCCACCACTCAGGAGGCTGAGTCAGGAGGAGTGCCACAAGTTCAAAGCCAGCCTAAGCTTCACAGTGAGTTGAAGGCCAGCCTGGATTACACAGTGAGACTCTGCCCCCACCCCTACTAATCAAAAACCAAAAATGAGGCCACTCACTTCAGGCCTTCTTCTGCCCACATCCACTGGTGCCTATTTGCATCAACTGATCAGAGTCCATGAATTTTCTGCTCCAAGCCCCTCTGGACCACAGCAACCTCAGCCTTTCATCCTAAGAAAACACTAAGGTCCCTGTGTCCGTTTTGTTCTAGAACCTATCACCCGTTGCACCTGTAACGGATCAGACCCAGATTCCCCTCAGCCCCAGTAATCAGGAAGCGCCCGTCTACACGAAGAATGGGAGCCAACAGGTGAAAGCTCAAGGAGCACAACAGCACTGCAGGGACTGACTGGGCTCCCAGGAGTGGAGCAGGCCACAATGGCCATGTCTAGAGCCAGAAAGCTGGCGCCCGGAAGTCAACCTTGGTGATCCCGAGGATTCATCGCAACATGGACCAGAGGACCGTGATGGAGGACCACAGTGCAGCCTTGGAGATGATGTATCGGAACGCCATCACTCAGCCATTCATGAAGCGGGAAACATTGTCCCGTCCCAAGTGTTGCACTACTGGCCTCATCGATGGAGCCGTGCCAATGTGGGAGTCCAAGCGTCAGAGTCTTCCGTCCAGGGCCTCCAACTACTGTGAAGCTGAGTAAGCTGCGTCATTCAGCCCGAGAACCGTGGGGAGCCTCAGCCCTGCCATTGCCTTCACGGTGAGGAAACCAGCCCCAGGGAAACCCTGTAACACAAATCCCGAAAATATTTTATGTTTTTGCTTGAATAAAATCAGTCAAAGTGTTGGGTTGTTTCTTTTTCCAAGGGAGCAGCAGTTTTGTTTCATTTTATTTCTTCAGTTTTATTCCACTCTTGACCAAAGCTTCTCCTTCAGTAGTTTATCATGGAATTCTCACACTAAGCTAAGGAAAGAGTGAAGAAGGTATGTAAATTGTCTGCTAGAGAACTAAATAAAAATCCTGAATGTGGAAAAGAAAAAAGGGCTGTGGAAAAAAGTTCAGTGAAAAGTCTCTGGGTTCAATCCCAGTAGCACACACATAGACAGACAGACAGACAGACACACACACACACACACACACACACACATGCACAGATCTACGTATATTTTTAAAATAATTTTTAAAATTTATATTAACTGACACATAAAAAGATAAAAATTGTGCTTATGGGGTATCGTGTTATGTTTGATGCATGTATACCCAGTGTAATCTTTAGAAGACTTGTGCTGGGGATTGAGACCTCACACAAGCCAGACAAGCACTCTACCACTGAGTTACATCCCTAGCCCAAAGACACACATTTTAATGAAGACCTTGTACTTGTGACTCAAACTCCCCAGAAACACAAAATAATACAGATGACTTATGTTTTTTGTTTTGTTTTTTTGAGACAGGGTCTCACTGTGTAGTGCAGGGTAGCCTTGAACTATGCAGCCCAGAGTAGCCTCAAACTCATGGCAATCCTCCTGCCTCAGCCTCCCAAGTGCTGGGATAGATGACTTATAGATTAGTTATCTATTGCTATGTAAGAAGTTACTCCAAAACATAGCTTAAAACAACAATAAAAATGTTATCTCACATTGGCTGTGTGGTTTGTTTGGAGTTTGCTCTGTAGCCCAGGCTGGCCTCAAACTTAACAGTCCCTCCCGCCTCCACCTCCTTGGTGCTGGGATCACAAGCGTGCATCACCTTGCCTGATTTTTCACACTCTTTTTGAGTTAGAAAGTTGGGAGCTGCGATTCTGGGTAGTTATGGCTCAGGATCTTCCATGATGCTGTAGTCACGATGTCAATGGGGATCTATGGGCAGGAGATTGCGTCCCAGCTCAGACACTCAGGCATGATAAATACAACCTTCCTCTGCCTTTTTGTTCTTTCTGCTTTCAGTGGGTTGGATGGTGCCTACCTTCACCGGGGAGGGCCGTCTGCTTTACTCATCCATCAACTCAAAAGCTAATCTCCTCCAGAAACACCCTCACAGATACACTCTGCTATGTGTAGTCAGCTACCTGCTGTGACCATACATATGATCACAGGCACAAACTGCTCCCTACCTTCTCCCCGCTCTGTACTTGGGGTGCTGATTATCCATGGCATGCTGTAATGTCACCATCAAGTCATCGCCTGAAGCTGATGTGAACTAACTAAAGCATTTGCACTGAAACAACTGGCTGCTGCACTTGCCCACCCTGGTGCCGCTGATACACGAATGTGACATGGGGTACACTACTTTTCGTGTACTACAACTTTCACAGTGAGAAAATGACAAGCTTAGACTCTAACTCAGTTCAAGTCACAATTTGAGAACTAGAGAACTTCCCCAACGGCGCAGAAATTATTTCTTGTAGCCATGTAATGGTACCATTGAAAAAGCACTTATGAAAGATGTGAAATTTAATGCGTTAGCTTGTGTAGTTGTAGGTGGCTTTCACAGCTTCTCCTTTTGGCTGGCTGAAATTTGGACTCAAAGGAGGCCTTCAGTTAATGAGGCTGAGATGCCAGAGCTGCAGTGCATGCCGGGAAAGGAACACAAAGCCACCTCTCCCGGACTCTCTTCCTCTCAGTCTTCCCCTGCCTTCTCACCACTGTATCCTCGACCCCAAGGGATGTCATTTCAGCTCCTGAATATCCATCTCTCCCTCTTGTCAGGGGCTCCTGTTCTCTTTGCTTAGAAGGTTCTTCCTCCAAAACGGCTTCTCCTCATCTGTCTAGTCTCAGCTTAAATGTCTTCTTCCCTGCTACTGAAGTTCCTACCATACTCCGCTGCTTCACCTCGTTCCTTCTGGTATCTGCCATTACTTGTAGTTAATGTATCGTTTATCTGTCAATTGCCTTTTCTCCGACTGCAGCTAAGGGCAAGGATCATGATTGGTTTTTCGTTGCTTATTCCTCTACATTTAGCAAAAGACCTAGAATGCAGCCATTCGTTTTGTATTTGAAAAATGAAGCCGGGTGTGATGGCACACGCTTGTAACGCCAGCACCGAGGGCGGCAGGAGTAGTGAGGTCGCAAGTTCAAATCCCACCCGGACAATTTAGCTAGCAAGGTCGTGTGCTGAAGTTTAAGGGGATCTGAGGATGTAGCTCAGTGGTAGAGCGCCCCTGCGTTCGATCTCCAGTATCAATAAATTAATCAATCAACGGGAAAAAGAAAGAAAAACGAACGGTCAAAGGCTGCAGAACTCGTCGTTAACATTGCCCCGCCCTCTGTCCCTCACGCATCACTCAAAGCCAAGGCCCAGCCTCATACTCCCCGCCGGGGTTTCCCGGGCGCCCCAGGAAGGGCCCAGTCTCCCTTCCAGCAGCTCAGCCAAGGCTGGGGCCGCACCAGCTCCCAACAGTTCCACTGAGATCCAGGATTCCCGCGGCGCGGCCGGAAGTGACGCAAGAAGCGGAAGCGGTCCGGGCCCCAAGGACGCAGGAGGCTCCGTTCTCATTGGTTGACCCGGGAAGATGACAGCAGTACTAGGCCGGCTGTGAGCGTTCAAGGATCGGCGCGGCGGAGCGAGGCATCCAGTCCCCCGCTGTTTCGTAACCATGGCCGGGAAAAGGAAACCGGGACAGCTTGGCGCCGAAGCCTCGAGCCGTTAGCCAGGCAACCGTGCGGTTTCTGGCGTGGAAGAAAAATGGAGGACGTGAGCACAAACTCAGCCATGATTGGTCGATTTTGCGGGAATCCCGACACTTGATTGGCCGAGACAGGCTTGAGGGCGGGACCTCCGATTCAGAACCTTTCGGGTGTTGGGCTCCTTTGAGGGTAGGCGGGGGGAATCCTGGCCGCGCCCCCACGCCCCGCGAGCTCGAGGAGCTGTCAGGTCTAGGCAGAGCCCCTGGACCCTGAGCGCTGGCCACAGAAAAGGGGTGGAAAGCGAGCGTGGCCTGTTTCCTTTGCCCTCATCCTGAACCAGTCAGGTGGAGTTTTGCTGCGGCAGAGAGGCTAAGATATGTGAGTACAGGCAGGCCAAGCCCGGCCCCCTCCCCCTCTACCCTGCCACCGGGACCCTTCCCTGGATTTTTCCTGCCTCGCCTCCCCTCAATGACGTCCCACCACCCACTAAATTATAAACACCTTCAGCCTGACCTCCGAGGACCTCTCACGGCTCACCCCCTATCTTAAGCGCAGTTTTAATTGCTTTTGTCAGATAGTTTCCATAATGCCACATTCCACTCCCAACATGCTCCTGCAGAGAATGGTGGCCTCTGGATGTCCAGGCAGAAGCAAACAGAGCCCCAGTGGAGGGGCTCTCCAAGAGCTGTCCAGAGGCCCTTCTGAACCATATTCCTCTGCACTGCCCAGGAAAGGAGAAACATTTCTGCTGGATACTGTGATCTCTGAGGTCCCCCGAGGCCACAGTGAAGTCTGAGTGACCCCCTGGATGACTGGACAGCCCTCTGACTGGCTCAAGCCCTGACACTTGGCCCCAGCACACTGCCCACATGACCTGAGGAACTGAAGTCAAACCAGGCAGTGCTCGCTGTCCAGGTGACTCCTCTTTGCCCTCATGACCAGAGACTATAGCTCCAGCGTCATTTTAACGTTTCCTTCCTACCTACGCATTAGAAAATGAGCTCCTTGAGAGCAACCTGTCTTACTGTGAGAGCCCCCTCAGCCCATTATATTCAACCAAGCAGAGAAATGCCACTTCTGGTTGAATGAAGCCAAGAGGACAAGCTGAAGGGAGAAATCAGCTTTCTTTCTGGCCTCAGAAATAACCATCTAATTCAGCTAGTCCTGCCAGCAGTCCTAAGCCCCACTAGCAGCTTCCAGACACCACTAAGCGCTGCCTAGGCTCATCAGTCAGCAGTTTGCCAGTGTCCAGGTGACTTTATTCCCTGGGCCACTCCCATGGCCTCCTGAGTTCCATGTCCCTGAAGGTGAAGACTGCCTGTTCTAGTTCTATTAGAGCCCTGCCACATAATATCATGCGCTTATTAATAAACAAGGATACAAGGTATAAAAGTCTTACAGGATAGCTAGACGTGGTGGTGCATGCCTATAATCCTTGCACTCGGGAGGCTGAGGCAGGAGGATCTTTGCAAGTTCAAGGCCAGCCTGGGCTACAAAGTGAGTTCAAGACCAGCCTGAACTGCATAACGAGACCTGTCTCAAAAAGACAAACAAACAAAAACACCCAAAAAAAGTCTTCCAGGATAAAGAGACCAGGATCTGATACCAATTTCCAGTTATCCAGTTTTATGAATTTGGATAAGTGATTGGATTTCTCTCTTAGCCTCAGTTTCCTCATCTATAAAACTGAGATTATATAACTCAGTCAGTCATAGCTAGTAGAGGTGATATAGTCACAAGCTTGGCCCCCTGCTGGCAGAGCAGCTGCTTTAACAGCTGGCAGTTGCTACACTTCTCAGTCTGACATACTATTCAAGCCACTGTTGCCAGGCATGGTGGCACACTCCTGTAATCCCAGCACTCGGGAGGCTGAGGCAGGAGGATCCTTGTGAGTTCGAGACCAGCGTGGGCTACAAAGTGAGCTAATGGCCAGCCTGTGAGGCCGGGGAGACCGTGTCTCAAAAAGATAAAAAACAAAACAAAACAATCAAGCCACTGCGTCCCTTAGAAGCTGAGACCTAGCCAGGGCAGCAGCCACCCAGCTGGCCCCATCACCCATGGAACAGGTGGGGTCTCTGTGGCCTCCCCAGTGCAGATGTTCTTGTGGACAGTTGGTATCAGTGTCAAATGTTAAGTTAGCAGCTAAGCCACAATATGGATTAACAAGCGGAACCCACTCCCCTCTGGGAAAAATAAGTAGAAAATGGGAAATGGAAGCTACAGAAGTTAAAACCAAGGGAATATGAGACCAGGAGAGAGCCCAGCAGGATAAGTAGGGCACATTGTAAAGGAGATTCATCTTAGGCCAAAGAGGAGAGAAGCAGCAGCAGAGGCAGGAGCTGCAGAAGGATCCAGAAGCAACTGGTCCCTAGTCAGGGTTGAATCCTAGCTGTGATCCAGGCAGCACCTGGTAAAAAGCCAATCACAAAACTCAGCCCTGAGCCTAAGGCAGGAAACACTGAACAGCAGCTTCCAAGCTGGCTCTGCCCTGCTCCCAGCTCCCAAAGGAAGGAGCCAAAGGAAAGCCCGGGGCCAGTGAGCAGCACATGTCCTTGGGAGAAGAGGGCAGCAGCAGCCAGTCCCACCAGGAGATCCACAGCTTGCTTCAGGCCCAAAAATCTGTCTGTACTCAGAAGCCCTAGTTTATAGATTTATAGTCCCAGTGTCCTGGAATGAGCCTATGGCAAAAGGAGCCTGAAGTCAAGGCTAGGCAGGAGGCAGACATGGGTGGCACATGCCTGTAATACTGGCACTCAGAGGCTGAGGCAGGAGGATCACAAGTTTGAGCCCAGCCTGGGCAACTCTCGAGATGCTGACTCAAAATTAAAAGGGCTGGGGATGTATCCAGTGCTAGGTTCAATCCTGAGCACCACAAAACCAAACCCAAGCAAACAAAAAAAGGAAGACGGCTGAGCGGGAGGGAGTGACCCAGTCCAGAGTTGTGACTGGGGGATGGAGACACATCGTTGGCACAGTCCCAGTCCCACTCCGCGCTCATGGGGTCGGCACCAGCGCCTGTAAGACAGAGGCTTAGGCCAGAGCTTGCATTCTAAGGCCTTTATTGTGGCTTGCTCGCCCACGGCGCCTTCTCGCCCCCCACGCTGCCACTCCCCGCCCCACACCTGCACCTCCCCAGCGCTCATCCCTCGCCCCTCTATTCCCCATGCCAAGGCCCTGATTTCAGTGGGCCTGTCCCAGCTGCCCTGCCACCCCGTCCTTCCCCCATCTAGGTAGGGGCTGGCGGGGGCGCAGCCAGTGCCCCCGCGGCTGCTGCCCCCAGCATGAGCACGGCCAGCGCCTTGGGCCCGCTGCTGTGGATCTTCTCATGACGGTGCAGGTTGGAGCGGCGGCTGAAGCTCTTGCCGCACAGCGGACAGGCGTAGGGCCGCACGCCGCGGTGCGTGCGCTGGTGGGCCGTGAGGTGCGAGCTGTGGCCGAAGCTCTTGCCGCAGTCGAGGCAGTGGTAGGGCTTCTCCCCCGTGTGCGTGCGGTTGTGCGCTATGAGGTTGGAGCGCTGGCTGAAGCACTTGCCGCACTCGGGGCACGGGTAGGGCTTCAGGCCCGTGTGCGTGCGCTGGTGCGTGACCAGAGCTGAGCTCTGCGAGAAGCACTTGCCACAGATGGGGCACTTGTGCGGCTTGGCGCCTGTGTGTGTGCCCTGGTGTGTGACCAGGTCCGAGCGGCGGGTGAAGCGCTTGGCGCAGCGGTCGCACACGTATGGCTTCTCGCCGGTGTGGATGCGCTGGTGCTGGATCAGTGTGGAGTGGTGGCTGAAGCTCTTCCAGCAAGAGGGGCAGGTGTAGGGCTTCTCGCCCGTGTGTATGATCTGGTGCTGGATGAGGTGCGAGCTGCGGCTGAAGCGCTTGCCGCAGTCCGTGCAGGCGTAGGGCTTCTCTCCGGTGTGCGTGCGCCGGTGTGTGACCAGATGTGACTGCCAGCTGAAGCCCTTGCCGCACTGCTCGCATTTATAGCTCTTCTTGCCCACCTCGCCATCAGGGCACAGGCCCTCCTCAGTACTCTCAGGGGCGCCCTTTCCCTCTTCACTGGGGTTCTCCGAGATGCAGCCCTCCAGGGCCTTCGGGGTGCTGGCGTTGGGCAGGGTGAGCTCGGGCCGTTTCGCTTCCCCAGGAGTTGGCTGCACAGTGTCTCTGGTGGACCCCACATTCTGGTCGCTGGTGATTTGCTGCCTGCACTGGAGGACCTGCCCTGCCACCCACCCTGTCCTGGACAGAGGCTTCACATCCCCAAGGGCCACCGCAGACTTGGCTGGAGCCTCCTTCCCCACCTCCGCGGCTCCTGGGGAAGGAAAAAGGGAGTCCAAGGAGACAAGCTTCTTTCTGGAAGGACCCCCGGGGTGGGAGGAAGAGCTAAGGCCCAGGGGCTGGGTGCTGGGAGTAGGAAAGGTCAGGGGCACCCACAGAGAGAAGGACAACACTCTAGAGGGGGATCTGGCAGTCCACCCACGGGGAGCACCCAGGATGGCCAGTGCCCACGCCCCTTCCTCAGACCAAGGCACATGCCCAGGCCCTCACCTGAGCCAGGGTTGCTGTCCTCCTCCTCAGCTCCTGTGTGCCCTCTGGAGCTCGAGGCTTCAACCTTCCTGGGCACTTGTGGGGCCCAGAAAGGCCTGCTGAAGGGAAACCCTGCCCGGAAAGAGGCTGTGCTCATCGTGGACCTTCGCAGGCTGTCCCCACCAGTAGTCATCATCCCACCCCCCGCAAATAGGATGGGGCAAAAGGGAGCAGTGAGGCTCCAGGAAACATGGGCAAATACGCTCAAAGAGCACCCTGCCACAGCGGTGCATGCCTGTGATCCCAGCACTCAGGAGGCTGAGGCATGAGCATCACAAGTTCAAGGCCAGCCTGGGCAATCTATTGAGACCTTGTCTTGACATGTTCAAGAAAGGGCTGGATGTGTAGCTCAGTGGCAGAGCACTTGGGCTTCGCATGCAGGAAGCTCTGGATTTGATCCTCAGCATTAAAAAAAAAAAAAAACCCTTTGGGCAACAGTGTGCGCCCTTTTAGGAAGCTAAAGCTGGCAGCTTGGAAGCTGCCGAGCTGGCCCTGCCTCCAGTTTCCGGGCACACGCAATGGATCCAGGGGAGGAGCAGAGCTGGGCCAGGCCAAGGTGGCAGCTCCCCTCCCTCTGCTCATTGTTAGCGCACTGACAAGTGGGAGCACTGTCCTGTGGCTGCACTTACATGGGGGAGCGGGGACCCGCGGCAGACCTAGGACAAGGGGCTGGGAACACTGACCACCAAGAAGTCAGGACCAAAGGACCTATGTGCTGAGACCCTGGGAATTTTGGTCAAGTCAGGAAGAAAACAGAGGCCCATGGCTTCTATGACCCATAGGAGGAAAGGAATTCATGGGACCCACAAAGTGCCTCGGGACATCTGTGGGGCCTGTGGCTGGGTGCTTGGCTCTGATTCTTTGAGACTTGCCTGGGCTTGCTGGTAAGGGCCCCAGGGCATGTGAACATCGAGTGGGGTGGGGAGCCACACTGAGATAATTAGAGGAGTGAGCTTGGCGGCTGGGGAGACCAGCAGGGGCCTGCAGACCACCATGGAAGTCAAGGATGCTATCGTATGCAGCATCTGGGTGTTGACTGACTGACTGACTGACCGACTGACTGACAATGACACATGAAGACTTCTTCACATCCTGTCAAGAAAACTGGTCTGAGATGGAGGAGTCAAAAGCCTGGAACTTGGGCCAGGGATATAACTCAGTGGCCTAACGCCTGCCTGGCAAGCGCAAGGTTGTGAGTTCGATTTCCGGTACCAAAAAAAGACAAAAGCCTGGAACTTTAACACCTGCCATCAGAGAAACCAAGGCAGCCAAGCCCCACTGAGGAGCGCAGGCTCCCCGGGCCCGCAGCGCGGATGTGACCCCTCTGCCGATGTTGGCCCTAAGGGGTTAGCTGATGCCCCGTCCCATCGGGCTGAGTAGTCCAGAGAGCCCAGGGCCAAGCCTTCTGCAGGCATTCCTGAAGCTGGGGCTGTGCGAAGGGGGAAAGAGCTATGGGGACAAATAAGCACTGTGAAAGGATGGAAGAAAAGCAGAGCCCAGGTCGGTGCTGTGCGGTAGGGCAGCCACAAACCATAGCTGGTACACTCAAATCTGAGCTGACAAAGTTAAGTGAAACTAAATCTCAAAACATTTCTAGTGCTCAGCAGCACTGGGCCTGTGGCTGCCAGGCTAGGACAGACGCAGACCGTTCCCATCCCTGTGGAAGACTCTACAGAACAATGCTAGGAACAGTGAGGGAGCTGGGTGCAGTAGTACACACCTATGATCCCAGCACTCTGGGAGGCTGAGGCAGGAGGATCAAAAAAATCTGAGCATGGACAAGGCAACTTAGTAAGACTCTGTCTCAAAATTAAAAAATAAAAAAGGGCTGGAAATAGAGCTCAGTGCAAAGGCCGTGGGTTCTATTCCAAGTAACCCTCCCCCCCAAAAAAAAGAACAGCGAAATAATAGCAGCAGCCCCACCCTCACTCCAGGGCCTCAGGAAGCCAGATGCCCCCACCACCTGTGAGCTCTTACCTAAGGCCAGCCCATTTTTCTTCTGCAGCACATCCCTGTAGAAGTTTTGCTGTGTATGGTCCAACCGTCCCCACTCCTCCCGGGAGAGGTACAGAGCTACATCCTCAAAGGTCACGGGCATCTGACACAACACAAAACACCCTGTGTCCAGGATTATGCATGGACATGGTAGAATGATGATGCCAAGATGTATGCTGAGACCCTGGGCTCCCAACTTGTCCCCAGGGAGGCCTGCCACCCAGACCAAATGGTCAAGTCGGACAGTCACCCAATGATGGCCTTTGTTAGGAGAGATTCAAGAGCCAAGCAGTATATTCAGGGGCCATAGCCGAAGCGCGGGATCTCCACTCATCTTCCACCCTCATCTCAGCCCTTGGACAATGAGTCACAATCACACACCCAACTGTCCACTGTCTTCTGCTCTTTCTCCTGCCTCAGCCAGGCCTAACTGTGGGCTCCAGGCCTGGGAAAGGTGCTCAGCTGGCCACTCCCCCAGTACCTCAGGGACAGTCCTGGGCAAGTGGGAAGGTCAGGGCTTCATGCCCATTACTTCTCTCAAGCCTCTCCAGCTGGCAGCAGCAGATGCAGGCCCAGGAAAGGGCCCTATCTCCACCCAGAGACAGTAGGAGAGGGGGAAAAGAGGCCTGAAAGAGACACTCACCTGGGACCAGGCTGTGAGGAGTGCGGCCGCCATCTGCTGGTCTCTGGTCCTCCCCTCTCGGGAAAGCACAGGGATCTGGGGTGAGGAAAGGGCTGTAGGAGGAAAGGGTCCTTAGAGTGGTCAGCTCCTCCCGCAGTGTGCTGCTGTTCCCAAGCTGCCTCTTACGCCACCCCCCAACCCAATCCAAGAGGAGGCTGACAGGAGTGGTCTCAGAGAGTCAGGTGGATTGGCAGGTGAACTTCTGGGTCCCCTCCTAGGTTAACACTCGTCAACCCTTCCTTGGCCAAGTTTCCCCCCTCCCACAGATGCCTCCCAAGGAAAGGATCTCATTTTCCCAGCTCCCTGTCCTACCTCCAGCAGGCAGGAAGAGAGCTTTCTCTTTAGAGCCAGGCCTTAGGGACACCCAGCCACATCCACTTGGAGCCCTGTCCTCCTGCAAAGCCCCCTCGGGGTCCGGCTCTTCTGGCTCCATCTTGATGTGCTGTGACACCCGAGCAGCTGCCAAAGGCACTGTCTCCTCCAGCCCAGAGGGCATGTCTTGACAGCGATGTCCCTGACCTGAAATCTAGGAATGACAGCCCCCATGATCGAGGAAGCCAAGGAGAACCAGGAGCCACCAGAAGCTGGAAGAGGAGGGAAGGGCCCTCCATGAGAACCTTTGGAGGGCGTGTGGCCCAGCTGACACCTTGATCCCCAGGACCATGAGAGAATAAACCATGGCGGTCTGAAGCCACCCAGTCAGTGGTACCTGTTGCAACTACAGGAAACAAACACACCAAGGCCCAGAGATTAGACAACGGCCCACAGCCACAGAGCTCAAAAGCTTTGGGCAAGCCATCTCTCTCACACTGGAATGGCCCTGGGGAGTTCTCATCACCACGATGGCACATGGACCAGCTTGTACCCAGCTCTCCCCACACCTGCTCTGTGTTCAGGCCTTGGAAGATCCTTAGCCCAAGTCAAAGTGTCTGGGTGCCAGAGTGCCAGACCCATCAATACCCCTGACTGGCAGTGGCCTTGTTCTCCTGCCTGCCCGGAGCAGTTATGAGGGGCACACAGGTGAGTGAGAGATGATTCTGGATAAACATGAAGCAGCGCAGGTAATTATTATTATTATCACTCTACCTGTGCGTGCTTGACAAAATCTGACATCAGCAGAGCATGTGGTTGTATGAGCTTGTCAGGTGCTCAAGGGCCATGTAACAAGCCACGTTGGAAGGTACACTGAGCAGGGGTAACAACTGTTTGAACTTCAGTGGCCTGAAGTCAGCAGCGCTAATGCCGATGTGTATTTATAAACACACTAGGTGGGGGTACAGTACAGCCTCCGGCAGTCAGAGTGCCCTGGCTTTGTGTGGCATAATAATTACTTCTGGGCCGATGAGCTCCTTACAGGAGGCTTCATCCCCATTGCTTCCTTCCAACCCCCCCAGGTCCTGGTGAGATAGGTGGGGTCTGTGGGCACATGTGTGTCACCACATTTTACAGGTGACACACCTGATGACCACAGCCCAGGGGATACTGACTCTGGTCCTGGAGACCCTAGACCCTGAAAGGTGGTGATTACATACACACACACACACACACAATGCACACACTCATGTACATGTGTGTACATATATGCACACACAGACACGAGGCACAGGAAGAACAGGGAGCTGAGACTCAGACAGATGAGACATGCCCAGGGAGAGGGAGTGGGGAGCACCTTACCAGAGGACACCTACTAAACTCACCATGGTCTCATGTGCCCACTGACTATAGAATCCACCAGGCAAAGCAAAAGTTACAATGGACATGCTAGGCGGAGGGCATTTCCCATCATGCCTCCTCTCCAACACTCCACATTAAGGGCTCCAATCTCCCAGTCCTCCTCTACCAGGAAGTCTACCTTTCCCCTTGGTCCAGACGCCCTCCTTTAACCCCACCTCCCAGCACATTTTGCTCTGTTCCCTTCCATGCATGCCCCCTTCATCTGAAACCCCATCATACCTCCTGGGCTCTCCCCTTGTTCTCAGCGAGAGGGACGCCTCCACCATCCGTAGCCATTTTCTGTTTCAGAGCTAGGAAGAACAGCAAGTTGTTTCTCCCTGCTGCCAGCCAACCCCCCTCTGGCTTCTGGCCAGGAGCCTGGAAGAGCAGAAAGAAATCAGCAAGTGATTCTTGGTCACCTCTGATGTGCCCTGAAAATTTGCAAAGCAAACCAGAGCTTCCTGGAAATGAAATCTACCGCAACTAACCCTACAGTCCCACCTTCAGTGATGGTTTTTGCTTCGTCCTTTCAAAAGAGGGCTGTTGTATATTGTCCCCTTTATCGCTGAAGAGCCTCACATCTCAGGGCCATCAGCTCAAGGAAAGCCAGGGCTAAATCGAAACCAGTATTTCCTGTCACCAGGAGCAGAAAGTTTTGCAGAGATCCTACAAAACAGGCACTGGGACCTGCCCTTCCCAGATGGGAAAGTCAGAGCCACAGGCCTCAGGACACACACCCTGGGTCCCGGCCCACCTAGGATCCCATTTAGGAATCAACCCGCCTCTCTCTCAGCACTTCGCTCTGCAGCTGCAGCTGCCGCCTCAGGATGTCCATTGCACTTGTGGTCCCCGCAGACGATATCCTTCTGCTTCCCAAACCCAGGTCCAGGCCCCTTCCCTCCTGCCATCCTAAAGCCTTCCACCTTTGACCCTGTCCCCTCTTGCAAGCTGGTCATCTGTGCCGGTCTCAGGATCCAGCCCCCTCCCCAGCACCCCCGTCTCACCAAAGTGGAGGTGCAGTGGGCACCTCGGGTGGCTGGGCCCCTCCCCAGGGAGGACAGTCTCTGCAGCCAGCAACGAGAAGGCGGGGGAGCCGGGTGGAGACCGGGATTAGGGACAACAGGAAGTCCCTCCCAGATCCTGTTCCCCACGCAGCTGCAGCCCTACAGAGTTCCCAGCTTTGAGGGTTCCGGGTCTGGGGGTCCTGAACCCAGCCTGCACCTGCTCTTGACTAGGAAATGACTTCTCGAGCTGCAATGCCAGCTTATGATGATTACTTTACCAAGCAATTATCCACAATGTCTGTAAAGCAGAGGTGCCAAAACAGAAAAATTGGAAAATGCAGTTTGGGAAAGATTTTGATATTTGATCTTTCTTTCTTTTGTTTTGTTTTTCTTCAGTACTGGGGATTGAGGCCAGGACCTTCTCACTAAACTGTATCCTTGGCCCTTTCAAAGTTTTTTATTTTGAAACAGGTTCTCACTAAGTTGCTAAATTGCCCAGGCTGGGTTCAAACTTGTCCTCCTGCCTCAGCCTCCCTGTCTGGGATTACAGGCATATTTGATGTTTCCTAGAAAGCACTGCAGTCATCCTTGAAGGAGGGGTGACACCTTGCTGGGCAGAGGCATGCGACCATTTTAATCAGCACACAGTGCTTCTGACATTCATTTCCCATCTCCTTGAGGGCCCAGGATTCACTTAAGCCTCCCCAGGAAAGGGGATTTTCTGGCTCCACTTAAGACTGCAATAGGGAGCCAGAGGTTGGACCTCAGCTGGGTGTAGTGGTGCACACTTATAATCCCAACACTCTGGGAAACTGAGGCAGGAGGATTATTAATTCTAGCCCAGGCCGAGCAACTTAATTTTGTAAGACCTTGACTCAAAATTTTTAAAAGGGGCTGGGGATGTAGAAAGCGCGGGGTTTGCAAGGGGTTTGCACAAGCACCTGCCTGGCAAGCACAAGGTCCTGAGTTTGATTCCTGGTACCAAAAAAAAAAAAAAAAGAAAAGAAAAGAAATCCTGGGGTTTGATTTCCAGTACTACTAAATTTTTTTTTTTTAAAAGTATCACACAGAGAGCACTCCCCCTAAGGGTAAACTTAGGGAGCAGACTGAGAACGCCCGCCCTCTGGCCCCCCTGGTGCCCTACACCACAGAAAGATGTAGAATAATCTGATTTTTCTTTTTTTTGTTTTTTGTTTTGTTTTGTTTTTTTCTGGTACCAGGAATTGAACTCACAACGTTGTGCTTGCCAGGAAGGCACTGTGCCACTGAGCTAAATCCCCAGCCCCTGATAATCTGATTTTTCCAGAGCCACTCCAGCTTGGACACAGAGGGGAAAAAGGCCTGACCCAGACATCCATGGGGGCCCAGGTCTGCAGACATCCCTGACAGCTTCAAACACCACCTTTCAGGCACATCTTACTTCCTGACCCCGGGAACTAAGGCCTAAAGTGGGAAGGACAGTGATTGCACTTTACTTTCGAGAGTGAGGAGCAATTTCTTCTGTACAGACATCAGGAAAAGGCTGAGGGTGGTTCCAGCCCTGGGGTTTACTTTCAGGAAGTTTCCTCCAGTAGATCCTATGTCTGCCTTCTTTGGGACCCTCAAGTCCTCCAAGATCCACTGCTTAACTCAGCAAGCTTGGCACTACTTTCCCTGTAACAGCTCACAAGATTTACTTTTTTTTTTTTAATTTTTATTTTTATTTTAAAGAGAAGATTTACTTTTAAAAAATTAATTTCTGATGTTTAAAAACTATGGAAGTTCTCATAAAATTAATTTTTAAAAAATCAAAATATTGGGGCTGGGGATTTAGTTCAGTGGTACAGTGCCTGCCTGTCAAGCGCAAGGTTGTGAGTTCAATTCGCAGTACCAGAAAAAAACAAAAAACAACAACAACAAAAAATCAAAATATTCCAAGTGTGGTGGCACACATCTGTAGTCTCAGCATTCTGGGAGGCTGAGGCAGGAGGATCTCAAATTCACACCAAGCAATGTAGTGACTTAATGAGACACTGTCTCAAAATGAAAAACAAAAAGTGCTGTGGAGGTAGCTCATTGTGAAGGCCCTGGGTACAATCCCTAGCACATGAAACAAAAAAAATCAGAATATTTGGAAACACTGGGTCTGTATTTTTTACATCCACAGTTTACTTTTCAGGTGACCACAGTCCATACTTGGTCCCTGGAGCATCTGAGTTTCCTACTCTGGTCTTAAATAATAGTCTATACGTCTTGGGATTTGGTTCCATTTTATTGTCAACTTGAAAAAAAATTTTTTTTGAGACAGGTTCTCACTATGTAATTCAGGCTGGTCCTGAACTCACTATGTAGCCCAAGCTAGCCTTAAACTTGTAGTGATCCTCCTGTCTCAGCCTCCTGAATGCTGAGATTACAGGGGTGTTCTCGTCATAAACTGTAATAAAAGTCAATACTGTTTTCAAGCCAGAGCTATAAATCAAAACAAAGTCAGAGAGGTCCTAGAAAAGATGACACCATTGCACCCAATCTGCTAACAAGGAGCAGAGCTGGGTGCCCAGGGTAAGGGACCTCACTCCTGGAGAGGACCATGCCACCCCTCCAGTCCTAGGAGGCACCAAGTTCCAAAAACAGTGAGTGTATCCCACCTTCAGGGCAAAAGTTCTTTGCCAGGGGAAATGGCCACTTTAGAGGTACTGGCAGGGTACGTGTGCCTATGAGATCACCAAACGAAGTCTGAGCATTTACATAGTTGTTCAGAGGGGGGTGTGTGTGTGTGTGTGTGTGTGTGTGTGTGTGTGTGTGTGTGTGTTAGGGACCAAACCCAAGGCCTGGTGTTAAGAGGTAAGCAGTCTACTACTGAACTGCATCCCCAGCTCCTGTTCTAAGAATATTTACTGAGCAATTCCTTAGGAATGAGAGCAATTCCTTCTGTGGCTAGCTTTAGAATTCCGGCAGGTCTGGGGAAAAGGGGAACCACAGTCCCTGGAAGAGCTTAGATAGGCATCAGGTGAAAGTGAGCCAAAGAGTAAACACAGACCTAAAAAAATGAAATGCCTCTAACAGCCAGGCACTGCAGAAGTGACCAGTGGCTTGGGGGTAACATGGGAAGGCAAAGGGACTTCAGGAGCTTCTAAAAATCCCATTTTGTTTAGAGGGGGCCTTTGAGGGTTCAGAGTTGCCAAAGTTTGAATATTTTCCAAGAGAAGCCAAAAACATTCAACTTCTATGTGAAAACCAACATTTATTATTTTGTTTATCTATCTACTTTTTAGACAGAGTCTCGCTATGTAGTCTAGGCTGGCCTTGAACTCACTTTGTAGCCCAGGCTGGCCTTGAACTCACACTGATCCTCCTGCCTCAGCCTCCCAAGTGCTGGGATTACAGGCCTGCACCACTATGCCAGGCTCTGACTTTTAAATTGATGAAAAAATTTTATAATGGACTCCACACAAATACAGCAGAACACGTCTGCTGCCTAGGGCTGTACTTAACCTCAGAGCCTATCATAGCTATAGTATTAGCTACCATGGACGAAGGTGCTTGGCAGAGCTTCAGGCTTGAAAAACACTCAGCAAATGCCAGCTCCTATTCCTGGCAGCTTCCCTGAGCTTCACTAAGGAGAGGACACCACCTTTAGTAAATAAATCACAATCTACTCTCAGAGATCATCCTACAGTTAAATTTTTCTTTTTTTCTTGGTCTTTTTGAGACAGGGTCTCACTATGTAGTTCAGGCTGGCCTTGAGCTCACTTTGTAGCCCAGGCTGTTCTCAAACGCACAACAATCCTCCTGCCTCAGCCTCCGGACTGCTGGGATTACAGGTGTGCAGCACCACACCCAGTTTAACTCTAGTTTTAATGTGAAAACTAGAAAGAAGAGTCAACTGAAGCAAGAAGAAAATAACTGGTAGAGTCAGGCATGTTGGTGTAGGTCTGTACTCCCAGCACTCAGGAGGCCACGATAGGAGTATTGCAAATTTCAGGTCATCCCAAGCTACATAGTGAGTTCAAGGCCAGCTTGAGCTAATAAAATAACATAATTAATTAAGGCAGCTAAACCAGACTGGAGAGTGAAGAGATGTTTTCCTGAGAAGTAAAGAGATGACCATGGGGGAGGGGGATAAAGGAATGGGATAGAAGTAAAGAGATTAAGAATAATAAGCCTCTGGGCAAATCTTAAACACTGAAGAAAGGGCGGGGTGGTGGGGAGACAGGAGGGAAGGGAAGGAGGGAAGACAGAAGGGAGGGAAGGGAACCAGCAAAAGTGTTAAGTGAGGCCCCAAGGAATAAAATTTTTAAAAGAAAAATAATTAAGAACTTCCAGGGTCTGCCGGGTGTGGTGGCGCACGCCTTGTAATCCCAGCACGCGGGAGGCTGAGGCAGGAGGATCCTTGCGAATTCGAGACCAGCCTCTGCTACAAAGTGAGCTCAAGACCAGCCTGAACTGCACAGCAAGACCCTGTCGCAAAAAGACAAAAAAAAGAACGTCCAGGGCCGCCAGAGACCTCGGAAGCTAGAAGGCAGTCCTGAAACAACCGGCTTCTGAAGCTGAGGTAGCTGCGGGACCACATGTTCCGCGCGGTTGAAAGTCCAGAGGCTCCGCCTCTACCTGTGGAGACGCAGAGCTCTGCAGCCCGCCGAACAAGAAAGCAGGAGAGCGTCACCTAGGCAACGATGCCTCTAAGTCCCGCCCATATACGAAGACGTTGGTGATTGGCTGTAACACTTGTGGCCCCGCCCCACTGAGGCATCACCTCGCTGCCTTTGCTTCTGAGCTCCAGCCTTCCCAGGCCAGAAATTGTCCTGTGGTGCCGGAAGGGTCACTCTAGTCCCCGCCGGCCGTGGCGGGTGTCCCCGTGTTTCCTGTCCGGCTGGCCCACGGCAATTTCCGATTTGCCCCGCTCTTTCTTGGCCCCCCTGTCCCGCCAAGAAAAGAACTGCGGAGCAAGGGCATCCGGGTCCAAGAATCACCTGCCGGCGGGGAAACTGAGACAACGTCCTGGAGGGCCCTTCGTGGGAGAGCGCTAGGGCCGCCTCGGTACCTGAGAACCGAGGTATCTTAAGGGAGAACTGCCGGGCGTTGTGGCGCACGCCTGTAATCCCAGCACTCGGGAGGCTGAAGCAGGAGGATCGTTGT